AGGGGGGTGGTTGAGATCCCTTCCTGCCCCAAGGGACCCAGTTCTGGCACCAAAAAACCCACATAACCCAACCTCCACCATGCTTAAGGCCACCTCACACACATTAGGGCCGAGCTCACGCATGACTGAAGTCCTATGGAACCCAGGTAATGCAGAACTTTGTGACCTCGGACTCTGGGCTCAACGGGACCAAGAGTGGAAATCTTCTGCCTGCTTTCCGCAATCTCCAGCAACCCAGGGGTCACGCCCATAAGTCAACTCCTGCCATCGCCAGATAATCTCTTTATCAGCCAAGGTCCAGATTGGACAGCTGCTTCTCCTGAAAGGGAACATACATGAGGCCTCCATAACCATGCCACTGGACTCCACACCAGGCAGCTTCACACAGGGGGATGGAAGGAGAGTCCCACTCATCCCCAAGGAATCCAGCTCTGGCAGCCAAAACCCTCCACAACCCAATTGCCACCACTCTTAAGGCCGCTCCCCACATGCTCAGGCCGAGACAAACATATGAGTAAATATGTTCCTGTACCGCACAGATGCTAAAACAGCCATGCAACACATCATAAAACCCTCCCTACCCATTCTCCATACTTACCACACCATATTTGATGGAGTTCAGATAGTAGGCAACAAATCATAGAGAAAAAAAACCATATATATACACACACACAATTGTAGGATCATATGTTGCAGCACTGACTACTTAACTACAACCTTATTTATGCTTGTGATGAAGGTACACTAAGCTATCAAACGATCTGTCCCCCGACCTCCATTTCAAAATATTTTTATATTCTGATTTTTTAGAAGCATACATGCAACTACATTTGTCTTGCTTACTAGCTCTATTTAGTAGCCTTTTAAACTTTGCACTGAGTACTTCCCTATCTCTGACTGGAGCAATAGCACAGTGAGTAGGGCATTGGCCTTGCACGCGGCCGACCAGGGATCGATTCCTCCGTCCCTCTTGGAGAGCCCGGCAAGCTACCGATAGTATCCTGCACTCACAGCAGAGCCTGGCAAGCACCCCATGGTGTATTCAATATTCCAAAAACAGTAACAACAAGTCTCACAATGGAGATGTTACTGGTGCCTGCTCGATGAACAATGGGAGGACATTGCCATATATATATATATTTTTTCAGAGATATATATATATTTTCATATATACATATATATATATATATACAAAGCTGACATCACCCAAACTTCACCAACATGTTAGTGATATCCAACAGAATGTCTTAATGGCTCCTGCCAAAATAGACCAATCTTCACACTGCTTCCTATATGAATACTTTTTTTTTGTAAGCATGTTCAGCAGTTCTTCATAACAGACAATATGAAATACATTATTTTGGTTGTTTTTTGTGACAGGGCTTGGGGCTTGGGATGGAAACATCCTGAATTTGGTGGTGGGAAGGTGTAATATTGGTGGATTGGTGTTTGAATATTGAATGTAATCAAACATTGTGAACCAACTTATAAAATTAAAATTTTTTAAAAAGTAATGGGGAGTTTATGCCCAATTCAATCAGCTTAATCTATGCCTGAATAAATAGCAGTGATCCTACATTATATAAAATAATAAAAAAATAAAAAGTATATGAAGTGATTTTGTTATTTACTCTGGTAATAAAATTATATTTTAGGTTCCTTGACATCGCTAATACATTCTTGAAGTTTTACTTAGTTACCAACTTTTTAGTGAACCTTTCATTAATCATATTTCTGACCACAATATGCCCTCCACCAACAGCCCTGCATGCCAATGTCCTGATTTCCTACTTTGTCTAGTTTATTACCAGACTCACTCTCTTCCTTACCCACTATGATTTCCTTAGCCAGGAACTTGAAAGGTCCTCAACAAATCTTTATTATACTCACAATTTATTTTCTTGACACAATTTTTAAAACATGGATACATGCAATAATTCTTTTTATCTTCTACTTGTTCTGAGCTCCCAACTAGTCAGAAATGTCACACGACTCAATTAACTGGGACAGATTTGTCATTTTAGTGTTAGTCTCAACTACTAATGTTCAGTATTGACAATGTCCTGGTGGTTCCTGCACCATACTCTTTCCTCCAGTAAGCTGAGCAAAAACTAGGAGACGGATAGCATGTCTCTTTTATATTTGAATACATAAAACAGTTTACCGAACACCAAAAATGGTACATTCAATATAAATTCCTATTCTTGAGGATCACAAAGTTTCTGGGGAAGATGACAGGCATGGAGGTAGCAGAAGCTATAAATATCAAAGTCAGCAGTGATGAGAGAGCATTATGGCTTTTGGTTGCTTGTCTCTGTGGTTCTTAAGGGCTCTTTCCTCCATAGAAGTATTAAAAATCATACTTCATAATCATGGAGGTAGAAGGATTCAAGCTGGATTAAAAATGAAAATATCTTTAGGGCAGAGATACAGTACAGCAGGTATGGCACTTGCCTTGCAAGCTATTGATTTGGATTTGAACTCAGATATCCCTGATAGTATACTGAGTACTCCTAGGAGGGATCCTTGAACTCAGAAACAGGAGCCAGCCCTAAGCACTGTTTGGTGTGGCCAGGTATGGCCTACAAATATTAGATTCAATCTTGTTTATCAGAGGTCTCAGTACAGAACATTAATTTTGTTACTGATGAAGCTATAACATTTTATTAGCTTCAGAGAGTGTTTGAAGATATCAAAATCGTTGAGCCTGATGAAATAAAATTTTAGATTTTTCAACCCAAAATGCTGCCAAACTATGCCACATATCTGAATAAGCTGCAGATACATTGCAGTAGACCTAAGCAGGAGTATTCATCGTATATGAATGTGTGCCCGTATTTAGATTGTGTCAGGCAAGAGAAACAAATAACATAGAAGAGGAAGAGCTCTTCTCTACCCACAAAGAAGCCACAGAGATCTGAGCCAACTGCAAAAAAAAGGAGATAGATTTGCCACTTTAGGGCTCACCCCAGAGGAATCTAGCCAGGTGGGTTTTGTTTGTTTTGTTAAAACGAATTTTTTTCTTTTTAGAGTTACTAAAAAATGTGAGTCCTGAAACCCTACTTGCCTTCTGTCTCCGTAGATTATTTCTTTAAGGAAGATGCAGGTCAATTTTCTAAACGAAACACTTCATGAACATTGCCATTATTTATTTCCTTCCAATTTAAAGCCAATGGGTAAAGTAATATTATGTGTGTCCACCAAATAGTGCCACTTCAATCATGCTATTGGTTAAAGATCCTGTGATAAAGTGATGTGAGGGATAGTTGATTTATGCAGTTATTAGGAAGTGTTATACCAGAGTCTCTGATAAGAAAGGCATCCTGTAAATCATGTCTGCCTAGAGACAAATGAGGTGCTTTAACTGCAGCGCTGATTGGTTCCTCCAATAGTGTTCTCCAATCATATGGTGCTTGACAGCCTTCATAGGTCTTTTAATTCTTTGAAATTGGTACATTTTCATTAGGTCTGAGCTGTATTGACTAAAATAAGCTTTTCTTTTGTTCTCAGATTGTGTGTTGGAAGATGTCTCTAAATGTACCGAGAGGCCTGCGGATAGTTGCTGTGATGGTGATTCTAGTGGTGTGGAGCACTCTGGTGACTGAAGGCAGGGACACTCCAAGTAAGTGCAGATCCCCGTTGGGGGAAAGGCGATGAAGGCCTTAATGAAGGTTTGAGTGGGGGAATCTTTGATCTTAGGAAACAATCTTTATTCACAAATTTCCTCTTTGGAAAAGAGAGCTGCTTTACACTCTTATTTTAAAGGTAAGATGAGGACAATCCTCATTTCAAGATTTAAATCTAGGGGTGTTGTTGGGGAGACAGAACCACTTGGGAGTGTTCACTACTAGCAAATACAGGATGAGTTCTTTATAAACCAATGATTTTCTCCAGAGAATACACAGGAGGACATATGATTTTTGGGATCCCCCAGTACCTTGCTTGGACTAAACAGTGTGGGATTTTAAGTTGGGGAAACACAAGGTTGCAGTAGTCTCAGGTGCTATGGAAAGGGGCTTTGCAGAGCCCACAGAGGCAAACTCAAGCTACCTGAGTGTACTTGACATCTGATAGGGACTTTGGATGTTTTTGGGATTGTGTGGTCAAACAGGGTATTGAGCGGGATTCACAGATTTGAACTGTCAATGGACTAAATTTGGAGAAAGGAGAATGCCTAGAAGGAAAATAATACATGCTGAGAAACAATTAGAGACAGCATTATTATCTTGATATGAATCAGCTTCCAATTTTTCTAACTCTTCATGTGTAGGTCTGGCATTTTTTTATACAATTATGCTTATGGTGAGTTTATTCGAATTAATCTACAGAAGCTGGTAATTAGCATAGTTTAATCGAAATCCAATTAATCTAGTGATAAATCTTGTGTTCTTTTCAAAAAGAAAGTAATCCTTCCTAAGACTGGATGTGCACCCCTTTCCACTCTGACAGAAATCAGTGGACCTCTGGCTGTGGAGAGAGATGCGAAGGGAGAGAGGCGAAGGGAGAGATACGAAAGGAGACCCTTTGCCAGAAACGAAGGAAAAATTCTCATCAGGAAAGGGACAAGATTATTTTTAGGCATTTCTGGTCATTCCCTTGAACTGCCGCGCTCAGGTGGATTCTGAGTCTCAGGCTCCTGGGACTCCTCAGGGAAAACGAATTTTCCACACAAGGTCCGTTTTTCTAACTCCAGGGTTCCAGACTGTCAGTGCTTCTGCCCTTCTTACTGAACTCGCTGGTCCCAGGACTGTCCCCAGACAAGCTTCCCCCACAGCTGCCATTCAAGGACGGCCCTAGACACCTTCAGGCAGGCCTGGAGTCAGGAAAGAGGCGTCGGGTCGCAGGGGTCTGCGGGTGCTCGGGAGCGGGTACCGGTCCGGGAGGGCTCAGGGGCTCGGGCTGGGTTCAGAGGTTCGGATCCCGTCAGCCTACCTGCGGCCTGGAGTGGCCTGTCGGCCCGGGGGTCCTTGCAGCGGCCTGACACGCGGTGATTCCGGCAGGGACTGCAGTGTACCAGGGGAAGGGCCTGTGCTACTACACCAACGGGACGCAGCGGGTGCGGTACGTGGTCAGATACATCTACAACCGCGAGGAGTACGTGCGCTTCGACAGCGACCTGGGGCTTCACGTGGCGGTGACCGAGTACGGGCGGCCGGACGCCGAGCTCTGGAACTCACAGAAGGACTTCCTGGAGCAGAAGCGGGCCGAGGTGGACAGGGTGTGCAAACACAACTATGAGATGGACGCCCCCTTGGCCTTGAGCCAGCGAGGTGAGCGCAGGGCGCGGCTGCGGGCGCGAGTCTCGGCCGGGGAGTCGGGCGGGGGTCGCAGCCGGACCCCGCGCGGACCCCGGGGTGACCGGCAGGAGGGTGTCCGCGGGGAGAGGCGGCGACGGGGGCGCTCGGGGGACTCGGTGCCGCAGCCTGGAACCTTCCGCAGGGCGCCCGCAGCTGCCCCGCCCTGACGCTGCTCTTGGGCAGAAACAGTTTTGATACTCGGGCCAATTCCCCACCGAGTCTTGAAACCCTGAGGACATAAAATCATTAGTTCTTTCCGCCATCTCTGGCGGAGACAAAATCTCCCCAGAGCCAAATTACCGGAAACCGCTGTAGGGTCTGTTCTTAAAAACAGGAATTTATCTCGGAGGTGCTGTTACGGCAAGCGCACCACCAGAGGGCAGCAGAGCGCACCAGCATCTCTAGGTTCCCTCCCTCCCGCCCTTCCTCAGAGAATTTTCTTCCCTATATTTCAGAGTTGATGGGTGAATAATAATACTCTCTCAGGAGCCTTAAATTTACATATTAATCTTTGTTTTCAAAGGTTTTCTTTAATCTTTCTGATTCCAATTGGAATTTATTTTACTTGGACATGTACTATAATAATGGGCTGGAGATATAGCACAGTGGATAGGGCATTTGCCTTGCACGCAGTTGACCCGGGTTCTATTCCTCTGTCCCTCTCGAAGAGCCCAGAAAGCTACCAAGAGTAACCCGCTCTCATGGCAGAGCCTGGAAAGCTTCCCGTGGTGTATTCAATATGCCCAAAACAGTAACAAGTCTGACAATGGAGACGTTACTGGTGCCCATTTGAACAAATCATGAACTGGAGGACAGTGTTTTCAATACAGGTCCTCCTAACTTTTAGCAGACTATTCCCTGCTTTCTTCTGACTACATCCTAATGTTATATAGTACGTAAATATTTATTTCTATAATATTGCATAAGTTAATATTTTTCTCACAAACGGTTGCCAAATCTTTTACCCCTAACCTGTAAAGAAAAAAATATTTTAGAAATCCATATACCTGACTACAATTCTAGTCAGACAAGGAAGCAGACCCAAAATTAGAGTGAAAGGTGTAATTTAAAATTCTGCCATTCAATTGGGGTGCTGAATTCACTAGCTGCCTCTAACAGTGTAAGTCCTACTTAAACTTTCACGCTCACGTCATGTTCTCAGTAACCAAACCAACCTCTGTAAAAATCTCAAAATATAGTTATTGAAATGATGATAATGTCTGACTGCAAATTAAGCAAGTCTGTTTTTTTGGATTGAATTACCATGAGATACAAAGCTGTTCATGATCAGCCAGTTTTAGTCATACAATCTTCCAAGACCCACCTCTGTACCAGTGTATATTTCCCACCACCCATATCCCCAGTTTTTCTCCTGCCTCCTGCCCCACCCCGTCTCTGAGTCTCTAATGGCAGGCACTTTACTTCTCTCTCTCTCTCTCTCTCTCTCTCTCTCTCTCTCTCTCTCTCTCTCTCTCTCTCTCTCTCCCTACCTCAGGGCATTATGGTTTGCAATACAGATACTAAGGGGTTATCGTCTTTGTTGCTTTACCTATTTTTAGCACACAGTTCTTATCCAGAATGGTAATTTCTGACTATTTTTGTCATAGTGGTCCCTTCTCTATCCCAACTCCCTTCTCCCCCAGCACTTCAGGCAGGCTTCCAACCAATCCTCCTGGCCCTTGTTTCTACTGAACCTGGGTATTCGTCTCATATTCTGTTTTTCTTTTTTTGTATCCCACAAATGAATTCAATCATTCTATGTTTGTCCCTCTCCTGACTCATTTCACTCAACATGATACTCTCCATGTGCATCCATTTATTTTTTATTTATTTATTTTTTGCAAGAGACATATGTTTAATTTCATTAGTAAGAATGAATGTATAAGGATTTTTTTTAAACCTTTATTTATCTATTTATTTATTTTTATTAGTGAAATACCATGAGGTACAGTTGTAGACTTACAAATTTTTGTGCTTGGGTCTCAGTTATACACCGTGTGCATCCATTTATAAGCGAATTTCATAACGTCACTTTTTCAAACATGTGCATGTTACATTGTTTGGATGTACCATAGTTTCTTTAAACAGTCATCTGTTCTCAGACACTGCGACACTCCTGTTGTTTTCAGATTCTGTCTATTATGAACAGTGCTGCAATGAATATAGTAAAACAGATGTGCTTTTGGGCTGCTGAGGTATATTCCGAGTAGTGTTGCTGGACAATATGGAAGCTCCAAGTTCTAGCTTTCTGTTTTCTAAAAGGCTGAACCAGTTGACATTCCCACCAATAGCGAAGGAAACTCCCTTTTTCCCCACATCCATGCCAGCACTGGTTGTTCTTGTTGTTCGTTTGCTATATGCCAGTCTCTGGTATGAGATGATATCTCATTGTTTTGATTTGCATCTCCCTGATGATTAGGGATATAGGGATGTAGGACCTTTTTTCATGTGTCTTTTGGTCTTTTGAGCTCTTTGAGGAGGTTGCTGTTCATTTTTCTTCCCAGTTTTTGATGGCATTTGATGGTTTTTTTCTTGTAAAGTTTTACCAGTGCCTCATATATCTTAGAAATTAGCCCTTCATCAGATAGGTAATGGTTAAATAATTTTTCCCATTCTGTGAACTGTCTTTGTATCTTACTCACCATTTCTTTTGAGGTGCAGAGCTTCTTAGTTGAAAGTAGTCCCATTTGTTTATCTTTGCTTTCATTGCTTGTTCAGTGATGTTTCATCCTTGAAGATTCCTCCAGCATCAATGTCATAGTGAGTTTTGGCCATATTTCCCTCCAGGTATGTTATGGATTCAGGTCTGATATTGAGGTGTTTAATCCACTTTGATCTGACTTTTGTGCCTGGCATTAGAAAGAGGTCTGAGTTTACTGTATTCCCTTTTTTCTTTATTTTTCTTTTTGCTTGTAGCTGCCCAGTTTTCTCAGAACCACTTGTTGAGGTGGCTTTCCTTGCTCCCCATCATATTTCTTGCTGCTGTATCAAAGATTGGGTGATTAGATATTTGAGGATCTATGTCAGGATATTTAACTCTGTTCCATTGGTCTGCGGGTTTCTTTCTATTCCAATATCATGCTGTTTTAATTACATCTGCTTTGTAGTACAGTTTGAATTTGGGGAAGGTGATGACTCCCATTTTCTATTCCCCAAGGATTGATTTTGCTATTTGTGGGGTTTATGTTCCATTTGAAAAATAAGTAATTCTTATAAAAAAGGAAAATAAGAAATCTTAAGAGTACATAGGTAATCAGCTATTTAATTAAACGCATATGAATGTAAAGAGAACATGCTAAGATGAAATGAAAGAACATAAGATATTAAAATAAATAAAATGTACATGAAATATTAACTCAATCTACACAAAACAATAACTGTAGCACTGTAGCACTGTCTTCCCTTTGTTCATCGATTTGCCTGAGCAGGTCTAGGAACATCTCCATCATAGACTTGTTACTGTGTTTGGCATGTTGAATACATCATGGGTAGCTTGGCAGGCTTTGTTGTGCGGGTGAGATACTCTCGGTAGCTTGCCGGGCTCTCTGAGAGGGGCGGAGGAATTGAATTAGCTCAGCCGGGCCAGCTGTGTGCAAGGCAAATGCCCTGCTCTGTGCTATGGATAAAGGATAAGACAGTACAATGAAAGGAGTTTGGAATTACCAAATAGTAATAAGAAAAGGTAGAGTGGCAGAAATGTGATATTTTGTCAGCATTTGAGGTTTCAAGGTTCCTTATTTTCCTTAAACATTTATAAGCTTTCTTATTTCTTTTTTACCTTTCTTTTGATCAAGATGCCTAGCTATTTGCTATATTTTATTTCTTTTTAATTGAATATCCGTGAGCTACAGTTACAAAACTTTCATGTTTGAGTTTCAGTCATACAATGATTGAACACCCATCCCTGAACCAGTGTTCATTTCCTACCACCACTGTCCCCAGTATCCCTCGTCCCCCCACATCCCACGCCTCCCCTACATCTATGGCAGACTATTTCCCTCTTTGTCTCTTTATATTTATGGGTATTATGGTTTGCAATACAGAGACTGAGAGGCTATCATGTGCGGTCCTTTATCTACATTCATCAGGTGAAACTCCGGGGTGACTAATGGCTCTGTGCTCAGGAATGAGTCCTGGTGGAACTCGTGGTACCATATGGGATGTCGGGGATGAAACCCCAGATGGACACATGCTAAGCAAATACCCTATCTGATGAACAATCACTTCAGCCCCCAAAGTATAAACTTTTGAAATAGCTTTCCTGTATGTTTTTCCAGATTGTGAATGCTATTACTTGTTTTTGAGTTCCAGTGCCTCTCAAATTTCTATTATTGAATTAATTAATAAATGCACAAAGAAATGTAAAATATGGATATATGATATGAAAAGGAGATGGCTGCTTAATAATAGAAATATTTTTGTACATGGTGTTAGGCAGAGTTCTGATCCCATTTTTTTGCATGTAGCCGTCCAGTGATGCCAGCACAATTTGTTAAAGAGGCTTTCCTTACTCCACTTCACATTACTTGCATCTTTATCAAAAAGTAGATGATCATATGATTGAGGGGAGATGTCAGTGCATTCAACCCTGTTCCACTGGTCTGCAGTTCTGCCTTTGTTCCAGTACCATGCTGTTTTAATTATTACTGCTTTGTAGTACAGTTTGAAGTTCGGGAGGTTGATTCCTCCCATTTTCTTTTTCCCAAGAATTGCTTTAGCTATTCGTGGAGGCTTATTGTTCCATATAAATTTCAAGAGTGTTTGCTCCATTTCTTTGAAGAATGTCATGGGTATCCTTATAGGGATTGCATTGAATTTATACAATGCTTTCGGTAGTATTGCCATTTTGACAATGTTAAGTCTCCCGACCCATGAGCAGGGGATATCTTCCATTTCCTCATGTCCTCTTTTATTTCCTGAAGTAGCGTTTTGTAGTTTTCCCCCGGAGGGGGAAGGGCGTTGACCGGCCCGCCCGCTCCTCTCGGGAAAGAAAGATGGCGGCCGCACGGGAGCCTTGTGGAAAGCGGGTTTGAGCCGGACTCGGGGGAGCGGCGGGGACCTCATGGGAAGGGGGGCTTTGTGGGCCGTCCCCCACGCCCCACCGAGGTCGCCAGCTGCCCCCCACGAGCGGCTCTCCGGCACGGCCACGGAAACCAATCTCTTAACTAGCTAACTTTTAATAGAAATTCTTCCAGGGTCAATAAGTAAAGTAGCAGAAATTCAAAACCGCGCGGCCGCTATCGCGGCCACGCGACATCATTTTATTCTTAAACCAAGTTGTAGAAAGCAAATCATTTCACAACGCTGTTTCAGCATGTCTGATTGGGGGGGGGGTGGGTCGTAAACTCTAAACAATAATTGTGCATCTTCTATCGAAATAATCGATCTAGTCAAAGTAGATAGAGTATTAACTAGAACTCATCTGCCTCACAAAGAATTGGGAGGGGTGGGAGGTGGGGGTCTATTGGGGTTCGGGGTTAAAAATGAGTATTGGTAAAGGGAAATGTGTTTGGTATCTACATGACTGAGACCTAAACCCGAAAGCTCTGTAACTTTTCCCACAGTGATTCAATAAATAAATAAATTATAAAAAAAAAACCTGAAATAAAAAACATTATGTAGTTTCAGGGATTTAGCTTTATACTTCTCCATATAATACTAACCACTTTGTACCTATTCTTATTTCTTGTTTTATATCACTATTCCTGGGATAATGAGAGGGTTCAAAGTCCCACAGCAGTGGGAGAAAATCAAAATTGCTATTGCCTTCTCTACTTGGAAGAGCACTGGGACCTGCAGAGCATTGTGTTATATCCTAGTTCAGAGTAGTTACTAGAAATGGTCCTGATGGAAGGGAAAAGAAGTTAATGTTTATCATAACATATTTTCATATGACCTATATAATTATGATATAGCACTGTTCTCCCATTGTTCATCGAGTTGCTTGAGTGTGCCCAGTAACGTCTCCATTGTGAGACTAATTGTTACTGTGTTTGGCATATCAAATACGTCACGGGTAGATTGCCAGACTTTGCCATGTGGGTGAGATACTTTTGGTAACTTGCCAAGCCCTCTGAGAGGGGTGGAGGAATCGAACCTGGGACGACTAGTCAGCCACGTGCAAGGCAAGTGCCCTACCAATGTGCTATTATGAAATATAACTTTTAAAAGAGCTGATTTTTTTTTTAGCTTTTAATAGCAACTGAGTAACTCTCTCTTGGCGCTGTAAACTAACTGATGTGTTTATTCAAGCTAACAAAATGACTAAGCTTGGATCCTAATCAAAGTTCTAAAACCTAGGGATCTTTTCACTTTGTTACCAAGGAAGGACTCAGCACCTTGGAATGATTCCATGCCCGGTGTCTATCTCAGTATGTGTTTTTATGTCTGTTGCTTTTCTCAGCGAAACCTAAAGTGACCGTCTACCCAAGCAAGACAGACGCTTTAAACCACCACAACCTGCTGATGTGTTTGGTGACAGATTTCTACCCAGGCCAAGTGAACGTTCGGTGGTTCCGGAATGAACAGGAGGAGACAGCTGGCGTTGTATCCACCCCACTTATTAGGAATGGGGACTGGAGCTTCCAGATCATAGTGATGCTGGAAATGACTCCCCAGCGTGGAGATGTCTACACCTGCCAAGTGGAGCACCCCGTGCTCGAGACCCCCATCACCGTGGAGTGGCGTAAGGGACAGTTTGTTTCTGGTCAACTATGGGTCTCTCAAGTCAGTGGGCAGAGTTTCTCTGAGCCTAGTTTATTTTATTCTTGATTTTTTTGCATGAAACTTTGTTTAAAGCTTATTTATAATTTACAAACTAGTTCACAAATGCTAGTTGAACTTTCTGTATCATTGTTTTCAGTCACTGAGCTCAGTGGACTTGTATGAATTTTCTCCATGTAATTTTTTGTGCTCCTACGGGGATATCAGTTCTGTGAAGTTTAGACATGTTACATGGTAAGAAGCAGTATGCTTCAGGAGCTTTGGAACTTCCAGTGTCTCATGGCATCTTTCCAAGATCATATGTGAAGCTGGGCTGTTTCTCTGGTGGTAGTGCAAACTGAATATGGATGGGTGGAGTGCTGGGTTTTGGCATGGTGGGGACACTCTCTGCCCCCATCCCCGTTAAGGCTCTAGAGATCTGCACCACAGGGAGGTAGGCCACCCTGGAATAAGTCAGCTGCCAGTGTGTGTGTGAGGTCAGTCACAAAGCTGGACCTTCTGTCTGGTGGTAGTGGGAGCATATGTCGATATTTTATTTCAGACATCATTCGTGAGCTGGATGGAAACTACAGAAAACTTGATTACAAGAGCATCAAAATAATTCTGATGTGATTTTCTTTCCAGGTTTTAGGGATATTACTCCTCTTATTGTGGTCCCAGAACCCAGCACTGATAACTCTGAAACATTGACTATTAGAGCTTGTAACTGGGGCCTTAGGGTAAAGGTACTTCAGGGAGCTAGAATCCATTCCCCACTTTCCTCTTCTCTCACCAGCTCACTGTGTCTAAGAATCAATTAGTGGGTCTTTCCATCTTGTAGGGAGTGGTACAAGTGAAAAACAAGGTTTTTCTGACACCTCCTGTTTGGTACTCAAGTTAGAGTTTAGATCCTCAACTAAGGAACTCATGAGTTGTGGAGCAAATGCTGACACTCAGACTTTCCTCCCTAGGAGCCCAGTCTGATTCTGCCCGGAACAAGATGCTGAGTGGCATTGGAGGATTTGTGTTGGGGTTGATATTCCTTGGATTGGGCCTCTTCATCCATTACAAGAACAAGAAAGGTAAATTCACCTTGGAAAATGAGGAAAATAAGCTATGCATCAATCTCCAGATTGCCCTTTTTCCTCCTGACCCTGAAAGGAAGGAGCCCATGCTGCTAGTGAAATGAGTCAGAACAACCTTGCTGGAGATTTTTAAAGTCTGATTTGAATAGTTAATGGTAGTTTTCTAACATGTAGAGAATGTCCTAGGACTTTCCCATTCTCCATAGTCTCAGTGGCTTGTTTCTAAAATCTTTTAATAAGGCTCAGACTTAAGGCCACTCAATTAGAGGTGTGGTGTTTGTATTTACGTAAGCTACTCAGTCAATGATACTGTAATCAGGAGGTTTCCATAACAACAACCAAAGTGGAAACTGTGCCTGTCAAGGTGAGAGGCTGCTGAGAGTAGGGGATCCTGGGGACATGGGTGGAGGGAAGTTGAATTGGTGAGGGAATAAAATATGCCTGAAACTCTACTATAAAAAACTTTGTAACTAATGGCAACGTAATAATAAAACAAAGAAAAGGAAAGAAAAGAAGAAGGTTGGAATGTTGACTTCTGGTGGCAGTTTTATTCCTTGGATGAGGGTAGGGTGGAGGATTTGGTTTCTGGTAATGAAGGTCTTGTAACAGATGGCTAGGGAAGAAGAAAAATCCAGTTGTGTTCCAAATGTCACTTCTGTTTGGGGTAAATGAGAAACTGTCGATTTGAGTAATGAAACCCTTGTCTCTCTAACTTCCTTTTGTAGGACCTCATGGGCCTTTGCCAACAGGTACTCTTTTTTTGCTCTGATTCAACGTGGGGTTCAGGGAAGGAATAAGTAAAGGAGGAAAGGGTGTGAGGTGGTCTCAATTTGTGACATATTTTCCCTTACAAAATCAACAGTTAGTAGAGAATTATACTTAGTTTCTGTAGAAACTGCTGAGCTTCTTCCGTTCAAAGAGGACACACATTGGTGGGATCTTTCTCTGAAACTTGCAGTCAGAGGTACAGCTTGGGTGTTAGATATCAGAATAATGCCTAAAATATTTCACATATTGTCAGCGACTTCCTTTGTGTAGTTACTGATGAGTGAATATTGGCGTAGAGAGGTAGTATAGAGGGTGGAATGCTTGTCTTGCCTTGCACGCTACTATCCTGGGTTCCATTAACAGTAACCCAAATAATCCCTTGAGCTGAGTTGGGTGTGGTCTCTGAGCAGCAAACTCAAGTAAGTTTTGAAAACTGCTGGGTTTCCCCACCAAAAAAAAAAAAAAAAAAAGTGAAAATAGCTGCTAGAAGTGGAAAATAGCTACTAGAGGTTGAAAATTTGAATCTTAATTAGATTTATAAAAAAACATGAAGTCCTCATATCCTTCAGCAAGGTAACAACTTCCCTGCTTCCCACACATCAGAACAGATCTGTTAGTTGCCATTTGATTTTTAGATAAATTGATCTTAACTCAGATGTCATGGGAGGTGAAGACCACGTGAGAGGGCCCTCAGCTTTCTTGATCTGATTTCTCTAAGGGGAGGAAAGAGGTTCCATTCCTCGGGGTGCACTATGCTCATCACTCTCTCTTCTACAGGGCTCCTGCACTGACTTCTGATGATCTCCTGAAGGTCTTTGATGGATACTTCTTTCTCCTCTTCTGTAATACCTGCCTGTAACTGCCCATAATTTGCAGTTGCCTGCAAGTTTCTGTCTCTGAGATTGGAATCTTCTGACTCTGAGACAGTCTTTAGATCACTTCCTGTAATCACTTCCTGTACTCACTACTTGGAGAGTCTGGTTGTGAAGTTTCATCCTGCACTGACCCTAGAGCCTGTTTGTGCAGCTGCTATGAAGACAAGGGCTTTTTTTTTCCCATTGTGTGTCGATTTGCTGTTCAAAAGAAGCACATGAAACCATATATCTGGCTGTAGAGATTTAGCAGAATTAAATACAATTATTTACTGGATAAATAATTAATTAATTATTAATTAAATAATAATATAAATATTGTATACCTAGGTCAAGAAATCAACATGATGAATGACCTGGCACCTGAGTTGCGCAGGAGGAAGAGAGCGGCTTGGAATGCCTTCAAGAGCATTGAAGAAATAACTAAAAGGACAAAGAACCTCCAGCTACGAGCACATCTCTTTGATTCCACTGTTCTTACTGCATTAACATATGCCTCAGAGACCTGGACCCTACGAAAACAGGATGAGAACACTATTCGGGTCTCTCAAAGAGGAATCGAAAGAACTATGCTTGGAATATCACGATTCACTCAAATGAGAGATAGAATCCGGAGTTCTGATCTTCGTCAACGCTCAGGAATCAGGGACGCTGTCTCATTTGCCAAGACATCAAAAATCAGATGGGCTGGACACGTAATGAGGTTTACAGACAACCGCTGGACTAGAGCCATTACTGATTGGATTCCACGGGACATCAAAAGATCACGTGGACGCCCACCTATAAGATGGTCAGACTTCTTCGTCAAGACCCTAAATGATCGGTTTGAGGCTCTGCATGTTCCTAAAACGAACAGATACCATTGGGCTACGCTAGCACGCAACCGGGATGAATGGAGACGTTACTGGCACCCGCTCGAATAAATCGATGAATAACGGGGATTAAGTGATTAAGTGAAATACAATTATGAATAGTATTTATAATGAGATTTCTAATTTATGCTAATTAGATTTTAAATTCATATGACATTATATTAGTTTTGGATTCTAGCACTTATTTGATATCTCTATATGATGAAATAATTATGATAAAATGTCTAATGTCCATGTACTTATAATCAAAATATTTTTCTTGTAGTGAGAACCTTTCAGACATGCTCTTTCAGTTGCTTTAGAATATACAAGTTTATTAACTATAATCACCATTGTGTCCATTATATGACCAAAATGCAATTATTTCATAACTGGAAGTTCCCAACAACCACTAGGCTTCAAAAGCCCAAATTCTGGAAAGATGTTTTCTATTCTGGCTCACAAATTTCCTATTAAGACCTTTTCCAAACAGGAGATCTAAATTATGCCAACAACTATTGGAGCTTTGTTGGAACTAAGGATATAACTATTTTGAGATAAAAAGTTTCATCTATTTACTCTTTCAATGTAGGTTACAGTAGTGTTAATTCTCATGGTTTTTGGATAGGAAATCAAGCACCTTAAACACTAATACATCCCAGAACCTCAATCCCTGTCCTGATATCACTCCTAATCTACTTTCCTTTCACTACCCACCCCCCACCCAACTTCATCGCTTCTTTTCTTTCCTCCCTGGCTTCCACATTCTCCCAGTTTGAGAATTTCAGTTTTGCAATTAAATGAGAATTTTTTGCCTTCCTTTAAAAATTTATATTTTTTGTTTCTGAGAAATATTTAATTTCTACTTTTTTTAAAAGAAAACACGCATATACGCTCACACATACAAAGTGGGTTGACAATAAGCTTTGAAGTACATGCAATTATCTGCGAAACATGCATTGAAAATACGTCTGTTTAAAACACATTTTTTAATATTTTAAAAACAAACAAGCAAAACTTTATATGAAAAAGGAAATATCTAAGAAGGTATTTCCAAAAGAGAAATTGCCAGTGGAAAATAAATGCTTGCAGAGTTGGTTGTTTATTCTCATTAATAATTAGAGAAATACAAGCGTAACATTCTGTGAAACACTACTCATGTCCTCCAGACAGGTGGAACGTAAGACAATGTATGGGTATGTTGAGATAATACAAATGTTATGGCAAATGACTTGCAAGTAGTGAACTCAGGACTGAACCCAGGTCCATATGGTCTCCTAAGCATCACAGGGTGTGGCTCTAGAGATCTTTATTTTGATTTATTTATTTATTTATTTGCTTTTGGGATCACACTTGCGATGCTCAGGGATTGCTCCTGGCTGTGCTCTCAGGAATCACTCCTGGTGGTGCTTGGGGGAACATATGGGATGCTGAGAATTGAACCTGGGTTGGCCGCATACAATGCAAACAACCTGACCTCTGTGCTCTGACCTCCAGCGCCTCCAGAGGCCTTTAAGCACAGCTCTGTGGCTTGAAATCTCTGGATCCACATGTCCTGAGTGGTACCACATCCATTTGCCTTTGTATTGAATCTCCAGCTCTGTCCGCTGAGATCATGAGATGGTATCCTGGATTCCTTGAGGACTCCAATTTTCAAAATGAAACAAAAACTGACAAGAATTGAGTTATTGTGTAAATGGATCCTGAGAGTGTACCCGGAGAAAAGCTATTTGAATGACAATTTGGCACTAAAATTTAAAGTTGAACATAGGCATACTAATAATTTGCCATCCTAGGGCTTCCAAACAATTCTAATATTAGAACAACTCAGCTGAAAAATAAAGGATCTAAGCTGCAAGGTATATTAAAATAACAATGGTAGTAACTCAAAAGACTATCCATATTAGGTGGGTAAGTATATAGTTGTGCCATCCATAAAACATAATCCACAATAGAATAAAAATAAGTGAACAACTGCTATGGAAAAGATCTTTGAACAGCCTCCTTACCTATAATGTTAGGAAAAGAAGCCAGAAAACTCACATTTATTTATAGGAGATTTAAAGGAGGGTATACTTATCTACATTGTATGTGACTACATTTACAGGTCATACAAACTTGACAAAAGCAAAACAAGATTCATTGGGTCATAATGAACTTGCTTCTAGGAAGTAAACATGGTGTTATTGTATCTTTTGATTCACAGTTTTTTTGTACCCAATTAGTGACTATTTGATAGTTCTAGTGTTTGTTAAATTTTACATATATATGCTTGATATCATATCTCTATTATGCTATATTTAAAAACACTGTACAAAGTGGGAATGTATAGTGCTTACCTTGCATATGGTCTATCTGAATTCAGTACCTGGCACTTGGTATCGTTCCCAAGTCCTGCCAGGATTGACCCCTGAGTACAGGGTCAGTAGCAGTAAGTTCTTAGCACTTCTGAACACAGTAAAGAAAAACAAAACCAAAAACTCCAAATTTTAAAAAAAAAACACCAAATCCATAAAAAATAGAAAGTCTAGTACTTAAAAAATGAAGTGAGGAAATTTGTGTAATGATGCTATATAGAATTTGGGATTTAGGGATACTAAATAATAGTTCTTCATTTTTGTATAAGTCATTCTGTGGTCCTAATTCTGACCTAAGCACTTTGTGCAACCTCAGAATTAGTGATAATCACTGTCCCTGTATTTGTTCCCTACCAAGTTTTAAGTAAAAATCTCATACCCTGTAATGTTAGCACTCTTACTCCTGGGGTAGAAAATTGTGCTTTTCAGATGATTAGGCTACAGAGAGCGTTGTTGTCTACATTTCTCTATCCCCGAATTCAATATTTGATGAGTATCTTGTGTCCCAGAAAATATCTTGGACTATAAATACTTTTTTCTGTTTCTTGGCTCACACCTGGCCATACACAGGGGTTACTCCTTGTTCTGCACTCCGGAGTTACACATGGCAGTGCTCAGGGGACCATATGGGACATATGAGATGATGGGAATAGAACTCGTGTTGGCCGCGTGAAAGGCAAAAGCCCTACCCGCTGTGCTATCTCTCCAGCCCCCAAATCTTTTTTATTTACTTTCTGGGACTTCTTCATACTTCTCTATGGGTTCACTGGCATTTGTCTTGCTTCTGGCAAAGAAAGAAAGAAAGAAATGTTCCTTTTCTTTTCCTTTCATCTCTAAGACCCCAAAGTGAAACCCTGCAGAGATTGGGAAAAAAGAAATCTAGTCGAATTCTTCTCCAGGGAAGGAAAAGTCTGGATTCTGATAGACTTTTGAAGACTCCCTCGTATTTGGTTAGGATGTAACACAGCTGGCCAAAAGCCTCAGAGACCTCGTCAATTCCCTGATCTGGGCTCTCTGAAGAGGCAGTGAGCTATGGAAGTCTTCCCTATCATTAGAACATCCATCAGAAGTCCAGCTAAGGTTCAGAGGCTCCTGGGGTTTATTGCTTCAAAATTGAAAAAGACACCTTTTACTGAAGATTGGCAGCACAGTTTCATCAATTAGCTTGATTTTCTTTCTGCATAGGAAAAATTTAGGAAACCTACAGGTTTATTGATTTCACAATTCATAGGGGAAAGTCAGGCAGTCCAACAAATTTTGTTGTCATTGTTTTCTGAGATGCTACTGGCACCTGTTCGAGCAAATAGATGATCAAGGGGATGACAAGTGATACAAGCGTTTTCTGAATAAACTTTTAAAAATATAGGCCCACTCCAGGGCTTCATCATGACAGTGCAAACCTGGTAGCTCTGGCATGGCAGAACAGTGTTATGAGCCTGCGAGGCCTATATCTGGCGCCCCCAGGGGACATCAGGGCTATATCCAGTGTTGCTGGAAGTCTTGAGTTGCCTAGAGCACAACTTATTGTCTCCTACTAAGTTTTCCCATCTGAAATACATCTCTGGTGCTCTGGCTAAATGGACTATTTGTTTATTACTATTATTTAAAATTTATACTTAAAATTTATATTTTAATTGAAATATTGTTTACAAGCTTCAAAGTTCAGGGAGCAACAATTCAAGGGAACTAGGACAGGTATAGGGAAAATTTGTGGAGAGATATGACACTTTT